TATAAACCACAGTGATTCACACACTTTACTTACGGAGCCTACTGTTCGCTTGAATCAATTATCTATCTCTTCAATTTATCTGCATATCTGTGGCTTTATTTGCCGGGCTTATATACTAAAAAAGAGGGCGCCTGGCAAACACTGGGACATTGGTGGAGTTCATCGATAAGTCATGATCCTTCTAAAAATTCCAGCGCGCATGCTCCCAGCGTCGCGTGACTTCCGCTGTCGTAACAATAATACTGTCTAATAATGGTTGGAGACGGTTTGAATGGGTAATGAAGAAAATCTTTAATATAAGTTTAACATAACAGCAAATGTACAACGTTTCGACAAGGTTTTGTCATCATCAGGTATTGTCTGTTGTATGTCCATGTAACTACTTCGCAGAGTGTGGATGAATCTTCACCAAAATTGGTATGGAGGTTCATTAGGTCCATGTGGGATACATAAAAATTTTGAGTTTTGCATTTTGTGGTTTTTATTGGCGTTTTTGCATTTTTTTATTTTACAATTACATATAAGGGAAGCAACTTTTCAAGTGCTAAGATAACCTTTCATTAATCATGAATTTACATTAACTTCCGTCCGGGGGACGGGTACTCCAGCTAGTATACATATTGGGGTGCAAATTTGGCGAGTTTTCAGCACTACTTTATTTTCTACTTTGTATTTTATTTCCTCGCCTACACAATTATTTTATTACTACTTTATATACATGTTAATTTGTTAGAAAGTTTTTTTTATAACTTCGGCGATATAACAGCAAAATAGAATTAGATTTAGGACTGATATTTTTTTCTTTCATGAGAAGTTTTATGGACTTAGGCCTAGGGTAAGTTATTGCACAATACATTTTTGTTTTAGGCTTAATTACAAAACAAATAGGACTTTAGTCTCTCTTATCGCACCGTGGTAAGTTAAGCTACATTTTATTTACATTATTTTAGTTGTTTCATGAACATGTTAGTATTTTGATACTGAGTTGTAGGCAAAAGCAAAATAAAAGTTACTAAGGATTTTAATGAAGTAATGTTTCAGCTAAGCCTTACGTTACGTTTATGTATTAGGCCTAATGCTTAAATTAGACTGCAAACAGACCCACTAGTACTTACGTTAGAACTTGGACTCAGATAATATTTAGTTACGTGTATATAAGTGTAATCGCGCTGTATTTAAATTACGCAATTAAAGAAATTAATATGTTTAATATTTACATACTTTGTTACAACATGTGAAAAGTTACAACGGGAATAGAAAAATAGGAATGTAAAAACGTTAAAATATGTATTCTGCAGCAATAACTAAAATGCTGAAAAAATTCCAATTTCCTTTATGACTGTTTACTTAACAGCCGTCATTTTTGGGTAAGGCCTCTTTATCGTTCACTGCTTATTTCTTCTTTCAGTTTCACCGAAATTACGTGATTTAGTAAAGAAATAGTCATAAACAGTTACGTTTTCTAACAGAATGATTAGCTTATGGTTTAAATTGTCATTCGCTGTAGCGGATGCCAGTAGCTTTCAAATATTTATTAGGAATCAATGAAAAACAAAACGGATTGATATCATGGGTTTAACTTTCACATTTCTTTTCCTAGGGGATGGGTGTGCAGGGATAGCCTTGAAGGACCAATTGGTATCTCTTGTCCATATGTTATAGTACCCAATATCATCTTATGCATTTTTATAATGAACAAAAGCCAAGAATGAAGAAACAATATATAGAGAATTTGTATATTTTTCTCTGTATAGAAATTCAAAAACAAACAAGTACACCTACAAGTCGTGAGTCACGAAGATCTAGCAATTAAATGATACATTGTACTAAATCTTATTTTACATTATATTTATTATTTCAAAACCTATAATGATCTAATCTGAAACATATATAGTAACAATTAGAGTAAAACATAGGGCTACAGAAAAGCACAGATATTCTACTATTCCTAATGTTAAGATTTAAAGCTATATTTTGACAGGAACTTAAATATTTGAATGCAAACTATACCTGCAGTTTACACATTATTTTATTTACAAAACAAACTAATTAAATACTAGATTTTGAAGCTTCAAAATCCACCTAACAAACATATTTTTCTGCACGAATTTATAGGATAAGTAAATAACACAACAATTGATCCAGGAGAATCCATGCTGTGCATATAGTGTTGTTCACAACCTAATACAAACAACTCTTCCTGTCAGTGGCACACATATTTATATATATTTGATATCAACACACAGTATTATATATTATTAGATATTTAGTGGTTAACGTGTGCCTTAGGTAAGCACTGGTGTGTTGTAGTTCGTTGAATTTCGCATAAAGTGTGCTGCTTCTTCGGTATGAAGTATGTGTTATGCATAGCTAAATAAACATAAAATGGTCAATACAATATCAATATTGTAGTTCAAAAAATACAGGTTTCTTAAGTTCTCATAATTTGACTGAAATGTATGTAAAGTATATATATATATATATATATAGCACTATTTCTATGTGAAACAGTTAAACTATAGTCATACAAAATGAGATTCACGATCTGATGACAACCCAGTGATTTTTGGAGGTTCATATTGTTGGAACAGTTCTTTCTGGGAAGAGGTGGAAGTCAAAGAGTGATATGCTGTTGACGAATTTGTAAATGAACATGGTGTATGAGAAGCTAAACCAATACGACTTTTAGCAACTGGTCGAGGCAAACTAGGTTCAATGTTATTAATACTTTGTTTTGAAGATGCAAATCCTTCTTGGGAAGATGAGAAAAAATTGCGGGAGGCTTTTCTTAATTGGCGGCAACATCTTTCTTCAGGGCATGACAGCTTCCTCATGGATGGCTCAAGAGGAGGTTTAGAGCTTAAAAGGCTTCTTTGGTCACATTGGGGGCTATAAGTAGGCAAGAATAAACAAGGTAAATTTTTGCAATAAATGGATGAGTTCAGTTGATAAAATAATGCATACAACCTAGTAAAACACATTGCACTAAAACCAAATTATAATTATTATTTTTATGTGATGATAATGATCTACAGACCTCTCCCTGACAACTGAAAAAGAAACAACGTTGTACCTTGACAAATGTAAACCACAATCGATGTATGTAGTACAGTATGTGTAAGACAAAAATAAGAAAATTTGAATTATGGTAAACAACTTTTGTGCCTTTAACTTTAACAACATTCTGATGGTCCTTAACTATACATATGATATTGGTAAAAACATAGCTTATGAAATAAATGATTGTTAATTAGCAAAAACATCACATTTTCATTTAGATAAACTATTACATAGTTCACCTGTAAGGTGATTTTTATATAACTATAAAAATACTATTTTTTATTATACAGTTTTCACATTTCATTTGGATAATCTTTAGAACCTAATAAAAAAGCTTTTTTGAGGTAAATGTTTATATTTTGTTTTTCATTTTCTCTAGAATATCACTAACTTCAACTACTATCATCAACATACAGTGCAATGAAATGTTTCAAATTAACAAATGGAAACGCCCCCCAGTGACACAGCGGTAAGTCTGCGGACTTACAACGATAGAAACCGGGTTTCGATACCCGTGGTGGGCAGAGTACAGATAGCCCTTGTGTAGCTTTGTGCATAATTAAAAACAAACAAACAAATGGAAATATGTACATCATAGAAATTCACTAGAATAGTATTCTTGGTCTCCTATGCATAATTTCACGTCTTTATCTTTTCACTTACAGTTTATTTTTTATTTTCCTTTCAAATTCTTCATATTTTATTATTTCTGCCAATACATCACTTATCCATGCGGGCTTTTATAAACATTTTACCAATCTAGTGAGTAAACAAGATGGTGGTTGCTCAAGCTTAATGTCTATACGCTTTTCACAATCCAGGCGAGAACAAGTTAAACTTATACAAAATCATTAAACCTTTCAAATATGCATTTTAAAACATAATTACTTTAGATGTAAAAGTTAAACCTAAATGCAATCTAACTGTCTATCAAACTAATATGTATAAGGTGAGAAAGTATAGCAAAACACTAGGTACCCCGCTATCGAGAATGGATTAAGTTTCTTTCAACGCGATAAAGCGAAACAAATATATTGCTAATGTCTGTTGACCTACTTAGCTAAATAGAGGGACATCGGCTCTTTCTATTGGTTATAAGCATGCTATTTAACTTCAAACTGTTGCATAGCAACACAGCTTCGACTTTGCAAGTGGGTGTGGCTGACATTACGAAAAAAATTACAATTTAGTTTGGGAAGAAATTCTTAGAACATGTTGAGATGGGAATGAAAAACAAGTGTTTTGTGGACTTTGAATGTCTGATATAACAGTCTACTTTAGTTACTCACAGTTTCTTATATAAGAGCTTTTAAAAGTGGAGAATTGCAACTGCGAGAGGATCACATGACAGAAAAAAAAATTCACTTTTAATTGCTGTTTTAGATGTTTCTTTTTAAAATAAAGGAATAATAAAACACTTTAAATTATAACATACTTGATGATAATAATTTCAATGAAAATACATATATTGTAAATTGGTTTAATTAAATTTTGAATGTAACATGCACAGAAGAGGGTTTAAAGATGGCATCGTTGCTTCAGAGTTAAACTTATTTCTTAATTTTGACAGCATTAAAGAAGTCTGTATATAATTGTGATATATCCAGGTGAAACTGAATTAATTTTTTAGCCATAATTGATAAGTCTACTTCATATGAAGAGATTCAATTAAGATACTGATTACGAAGTAATATTAAATATTTTACTAACTGAGTCGAAGTGAAGCGAAATATTGAAACTGTACATAAATTGAAATACAATAACACAATCTTTTGCAAACACTAAATAAAACACAGTGTATGTACCTGCTTTAGAATAAGATGGATTGTCACTTTTACTGGATATGTTCCAGACTGTTTAAATGAAACGTTCTTTAACTCACAAGAAACCTTGCATTTATCCAGAGCGACTAGTGTTATACACGTGACTGATCATTCTCATTACAGTATAGATGAGGCCGTAACCCTAGATACGAAACCCTGAACTACAATTGAAAAACACTTGTCGACATCCTTGCACAATGTGCAGTATTGAGCAATATTTCCTGCAGGCAGAGTAGGCAGTGGTGGGATTCAGCCGGTTCGCACCGGTTCGTGCGAACCTGTTCTTAGAATTTAATGACCTCCACGAACCGGTTGTTAACAATCGTATGTATAGGCCTAATAATAACGTTACAACTTACAAGTACGCGTGTTTACAATGCAACTTTACTTTAGCTTTTTCAACTACATGTTGTGTGAAACCTGTAACTATACCAAATAAATGATTAATACAGAATAAATACCATAACATTAAAAGAAAATAGAAATGCATGGCATATTCTTACACCACACAGTTTTGAATATATTTTTTATTTACTTTAATCTTCACCCCCTGTGGTTCGGCAATAAGTCTTAAAGCTTGTAATGCTAAAAACCGGGTTTTAATACCTGTGGTAGGCACAACACAGGTAGGCAATTATATAGCTTTGTGCTTAACAAAACAAAAGTTTAATTTTTAAAATGGTAAAATCTTAATATTTTACTTTTGGAATAGTGGATATTAGTAAGTGGATTTGATTAAATTCTGAATACTAGCCTTCGACATCCAGAATTTATTAATAAGAGATAATCATTCAGCTTTTAGTATTTCCTTTGAGGTTATACTTTAATTTAGGTTCTATATATATGGGGCCAGTGAGGAGAGCAGCAGACAGGGTTTTAAAGCTGCGGGACCTGCGTGATTTTTTTATGGTTACCTTGAGCTAGTGAGAAAGAACGACCATCAGGTGTAATCACCATGGTGAAGAGATTTATGGACATCCTAATTAGGGAACTCTTTGTAAGACTCCAAGGTTTTTACAACCAGTGACAAATCTCAATGCTGGAGTTGCCAATAACAAGGAAATGGTTTGAAATGCCAAAAGTGGTTGTACCACTAATAGTTGGAGTGGCAAGTATCTCACTAGTAAACTACTAAATCTTGGCAAAGCAAAGATACTTCCAAGTTGTGAAGGTGGGCTAACAAAACTATTTGTGGCAGCTTGGAGACCAGAAGTGATGCAAAGACACAAAGTGACATGTATGCATCTGATGTGTGAATCTATTATACATTGTCAGGCATCAAGAAGAACTGGTGTCATTGGTATCTCAACCAGTTAGTAGCTTATAAAATAAACAAGAGCAACTTGGTTACTGGTAGGAAAACAGTACCTTGTTATCACTTAGATAATAGATGTGTACCTGAGATGTGTATTGACACCATGAAGAACAGAATGATCCACAGAGATGATTTCAAGGCCTGATAGCATGGACTTCACAATTCTGCAAAACCTACATGAATAGGAATACTCTTATATGGTTTTAGAATATTATAAGGAAATATTCATCAACGAGTTCTTTGACTATCTCCCAAGAAAACCAGTGCAATGCCAGTAGATGCCTCGGAAATTTAATTCTTGACTGAAGCAGTTCCTCTGACGATCGTTTTTGCCAGAGAGATATAAGCTGACAGTAATAACTGGTTGAAACTCCTCTGGAACTTGATTTTGAAATTGCACTGTCTTAGCGAGCTTGAAATGACTCACCTTCAGTTGCACTGTCACAAGCATTGCCAGATGCTATGATGCACTAACTAACAGTAAGTAATCTGGGTTACCCATGTCTTTTTAAGCTGGCAAAACACTGCCACTGGAGCAGTCAAGTCCTTTCAAATGACACTTCAAACAAGAGAGATGGACCGTCCATTTTATTTGTGGGCCAATTAGGCCTTCACTAAAAAAACCTTCATATATCCCATCAACCAAAAAGAATGACATCAGTTTTTTCAGAGAACAGCAGAAGGGTCCTCAGTAAGCTATGTTGCTACTGGTCTGACTAGCTTAAATTAGTGGAGCCTTAACTGGTTCTAGTCATTAACTCCGATAAGTGTAGCAGTTTGTGCCCAAAGATGTGTGGGTGGTCAGCTCAGATCATAAACTGGGTATGTTTGTCACATGTTTGTAAAGATATTGGATGCAAGGTTGGATATTTGGTTGGCAATGTTGGTGTCAAAACTTTGTTGCAGCATTTCAGACACTTTGAGAGAAGCTACCCTTCGAGCTAGTCATACTAACTTTGTTCTAGCTAATGGGAATGAGCTCGAAGTAACTAAAGAGGAAGTAATTTCTCTGTGTTGCTATCAGAAGTGTTGTTTTCATTATGATTGTGATTACCTCTGAGCTTATAGATGGAATTGTTGCAGATTAAGTAAATGTTTTAGTCACTAAAATTTTCCTTAGTTAAGGTTCTGGTGGTGGCTTATTTTCAGCAGTATGCTGAAACTGATGCCAGTGATAGTGAAATTGGAACTGTATTTCATAATTATAAGAAGGTGCGATAAATGTTATAAATTACATCAGGCATGTTGATGAATTCCTGAATTCCAGTATTGCATAAAAAGGTACTTGCATCTGTTGTAATTGTCATGATGATGTCACTATTAAATGGGCTCAGCAAATGACAAATAAGGAGCTTTAAAAGGCACAACTAAAGGATCGAGGTGGAGCTTTGGTGAAGTATAGTGAAGTGTGACCTTTACAGATCAGTGAATGCAGTGTGAATGCATAAAACCTATGGCACTTGTAAATGCAGTTATGATCTCAGGGTGATGTGCTGTACCACTACTATGAACAAGATAAATGAAGTTTTTGGTCTGTGATGCTACTAATAGATATTGTAAGGCTATGGCAGGTAATACTTTAGACTTTACATGATGAAAGGATTATCAGACATCAAGGTTTTTCATACACTATGCACAAAAGTGGTTTTCAATTTGCATCTGTGTTGAAATGTTGAGTGGTGGTGTACAATATATGTTGTGTGTGCTGCAAAGAAGAAAAACATGGTACACACCAGGGTAGAAACTCCATTAGCAAATTGTACGTTCTCCTTTACAAATAACAGCCCCATATATATCTGGTATTTTCCCAAAGACTGGTAATAGTAAATGATATATGCTAGGTGGTATTGATTATTTCATTAAATGGTCCCAAAGCTTATACATTGGTTGACAGTTCATTGCATTTTGTTATTTATAGGTTTTCAGAACTGGGAATAGCAGGAGTTGAAGCACCAGAAGAAATCCACACAGATCAAGAATCAAACCTCAAAAGCTTTAATTGGATGTGATATATAAATGACCTGCTAGTGCAGATGTGGTATGCTATTCACAATAGTAGGTAGAGTGGTTAAGTTCTGCAACAGTTGATGCATAGAAACTTGCTTATTAACATTTTTATAAAGTGGACATATATTAAGTGGTAGTATGACAAGAGAGAATGGAAATGAAAGTTCTAGTCTGCAGACTGGTATGATTCACCTAGATGAATATATATATTATGTCATATATAGAGAGGATTGAGTACATTATATTAAAGTAAGTTTGAATATTCAAACGAAAAGTACAACTGACACAAAGTTGCATTAGAATGGCAGGGATCAGATCTAAATTTTGAAATTTTTTGGCATTTTGTAGATGATGGAACGAAAAAGTGATCACTTTTGGGAAGAATATGTAACAGTCATAAACTCTGATGATAAAGATATGCTGAGATTAGGGATTCAAAATTTTCTAGATTGGAATATCCCTTGCATTTAATAACAGTGAAAAACAAAAAAATAAGGATCAACTTGGAGTACCTGGACCATTCAGAAAGAGACCTGCTACAAGTTGTACCCTAGCCATGGTAAGCAAACTATTGTATTTTGCAACAAGTGCAAATCTACTAACAAAAAGGTCAGTAAAAAAAGCTGTTTATGTGACTCAAGCAACAGTATGCAACATAAACAAAAATGATCTCTGCCTGGCAAAATAACACAAGTCATGCACACAGAAATTGCTTTTTGGACATATACGTTCAACCATTGCATACCTTAAGTGGGTATGAAATAAAACAAGTGTTCTTGCTATTCCATATGAAGACATATACATACCATTCAAGTTGTTGGGTGCAGCACCTATGTATTTCTGCACATTGAACTGTAGAAACAGGCACTGGGAAACTATCAATATGAGTACTAGAAGTACAGTGGTATTTATGCTGGGGCTACTGTCAAGATGCACAATAATCAGATAGTGCATGGCTGGACATGGTGATATGGACTGTAACAAGGAGGTGAGGTGCCAAAATAGTTTAACATAATGTATTCAGCATCTGAAAATTTAGACCAAAAGGAGAAATGTCATGGTATATCCAGTGTTTCATTCATGATGGTGGTGATGAAGAATATGTACTTATATATATATATATATATATATATATATATAACTAAATTATTTATTGATATTGTAACTTTGTCTGAACAAAGTAAAACCACAGTCACTGGTTTGTTTCAGAATGAAAAAAATGTAAGGTATATTTTGTTTTCCAGTAGTTTTGAAATACAATAGTCTAATTTCTTGAAAAAACTATTTCCAAGCCTTATGAATATTATTGCATATTTACTTGATATTTATTTTGTAAAAGTGTAGTTTGATTTTAGATTTTGTGTTTGCCTAACTAAAAAGCTTTTTAGACTTGTAATGCCTTCTGTCGGTTCACATTTTCACTTGCCACTTGCCTTGCTACTCCCTCTTATTACAGCATACTAGCATGCAAATGATCATGCAGCAACCTCCATCAATAGGAATACGACACTACCCCTGTCATAACTAGCACCCTCTCTAATCATGCATGTTAATCACTAGAGATTGTTCATAACTAACCAAACCAAATCACACTGGAAGTTGGGAGGATGGGTTGGAAATTTTCAGTTTAGGAAAATGTTAACTTCCGATACAATATCTTACCTCTGCTCATAAAAAGCTAGAATTTCAAATTGAACTGGTGGAGGGCCAGTGAGAACATGATCCCTTTTAGGAAGTGCCTAAAATACAGAAATAATGGGATTCCATGGTGTAGAGTGGCTAGGACATGACAGGCAGCAAATGTGAGTTCAACCTCAACTAACACCTGGCAGCATCTGGAATTGTATATCAGGTCTGTGGTAGGAAGAGGGTCCTCTAACTTTCACCTCAAAAATGGGTAATGGTAGGGAAGAGGAGCTCTCATACCAAAAACCTGTCTCTGCATGTGTGCACCTCCAACACAATCAACACCAGATCTACCAAAAACCAACATCTGGCAGATGAAAGGAACGAGGAGAGCCCAGATGAGTGTTCATATCTGGTCCAAAACCTGGTGGCATGAGAAATTTTTTTTGTCCAGTCCTTGGTAGGAGGGTGCCCAGCCTTATACAAGCAGTAAGCCATGTGCCTCGTCCAGTTACAACCAACACCAGATCCACCTGGAACTGACATCTAGTGGATGATAGGAAGAGGGACCAAAAGCTTGGGGTTGCATCTCCAGTCCAAAACCTGGCAACACATTGGAAACTTATTGTCCAGTCTGTGGTAGGAGGAGGGTACCAACAAAACACGTTAAAACTTGTGTGGCTGGACTGTTTCCAACCAACACCCGACCCCCGGGAACTGACATCTGGGGGATGGTAAGAAGTGACAAAAGCTTCTGCTCCTCTAAATAACTGCAAACTTTTAGTTTTGAAATTCTTGAGTAAGCCTGCAATAATAATAAAAGAAATTGAATGAAAAATAACCATATTCAGGCAATTTGAAGTTTTAGAAAGAAATAAGCTACTTACAATTTTTTTTCCTTTGTTTGAACAGAATATGTTGCACTGGATGATATAGGTGAGTGCGGTAATCTGGTGTTTACAGAAGAGGAGTTCTTGGTAAAAGGACAAACATATTTTGTTGAAGGATCCTTCAATGAAGTTGATACTGTTGGATTCTCTGATTGAGTTTTGCTTTCCAGTGCTGGCACTTTTATCCCTAAAGTCAACAAATTTGTATAAATATCCTTTTCTTTTAAGGAGGTGATATTATCAAGGATTAAATTGGGATTCTGAATGTCTTCTTCAATGTTTAAAGATAGAAAATTGTTTAGAACCTATAAAACTACTTTCAATGTGAGTAATAACATTTTAGTAAAGAAGATCAAATTCAAACTAGATAAAAGGCAGTAGCATTCAAGTATATGTCAAACCTTTCAGTTACATATATACCATTATATATATATATATATGATGTTTTAAGTTGTATGTATTACATGTAAAATATAGTCCATCACTACATGAAGCCTAATCATGTTCTTTCAATTTACTCTTGCCCTTGGTCACTAAGAAGAAGTGAAATTCCCCAATAATTGCTGTAACGCAGTGACAAGTGATGAACTCAAAGTAAAATTACCCCATCTGAGAAGAGATACAGTACTGTGCAAAAGTGTTAGGACAAGAGAATATTTTGTCATTCTTTCTATTTTATGGGACTAATTCTTCCATGCCGTTACAGAATGTAAATTTCAAAGCTATGGTAATGCTTCACTGATCTCTGTTGAAAATTGAATAAACCAGGGTAAGAATGCCTATCATTCTATAGAATTCCCATATACTTGTACCAAGGCCATGTCATAAGGGTTCTGCTTGAATGAACATACTGATTAAATTTAGGGTCTGACATGGTAACCCATGCAGTGTCTTAACTATATAGAAAGAAGCTAGCAAGGAGCTGGCATATGATACCGGTATATGCTAGAATAAATCAATTTAATAGCACTCCACAAATAAACCTTAATAAAAACAGTGTATAACACTATATATTAAGTTTGGTAGTCATGCCACGGCCCAAAAAGTGTAAAGAATTGTCAGTAGAGCAGAGAGTTCCCATAAAAACTTTATGTGATGCTGGTTGGACTCTCCGACAAATTACTGCAGACTTGAAATGCTCCCCAAACACTGCCAAGTACACCCTAGATTGTGAGACTGTGACAGTTGAATTTGAAAATAGGAAAGGAAAAGGCAGAACACTCAATGATACTGATGTTGAGTATCTTCCATTATGCAGCCTTCGGGACAGAAGGATGACTGCCACTGATCTCAAGCATGAGATAAATGACCATGTACCAAATGACAGAAAAGTGTTCAGATCTACAGTATCAAGAAGACTTAACAAGAATGGAATATTTGGTCGTGTAGCAGTTCAAAAACTTTGATCTCCAAATCTTGTCAAGAGAGTGAAATTTGCTAAAAAGTACAAAAACTGTACTGTTGATGACTGGAAAAGGGTGTTATGGATGAATGAGTTCAAGTTTGAAATATTTGGTTCAAAGCATAGGTTGTATGTCCGGCAGAAGAAAGGTGAAAGATAATTACCTCAATGTATAGCACCTACCTGCTGAGGCAACAGGAGATATTTGCAAAATAGATGGAATAATGGACCAGTGCAAGTACCATCAGATACTGATCCATCATAGTAAAACCAGTGGTTTGCATATTAATGGTAAAGGATTCTACTACCAAGAAGATAATGAGCCCAAACCCTTATCCAACCTGTGTATAAATTACTTAGTTAAGAAAAAAACTGCTGGAGTCATTCAAATGATGCAATGGCCCCCATAGAGCTCCAATAACAAACCAATTGAGCAGTTCTGGGATTTGATATATCAAAGACTTGGCAAATCAGAAGTTACTTCTAAAGAAACTTTATAAGAGTGTGTTAACAGACATTTGGAGTAAAATTCCAAAGGATGCTTTGATTAAATATGTTGCAACCATGCCTGAAAGACTGTCTGCAGTTATTATAGCAAAAGGGGGACACACAAAATAATAACTGCTTGCTGAACTAGAGCACTTCCACTGAGTTTCTGTTGTACTAAATGTGAAGCGTAATCAACTTTTGATGTTTCACCTGTGATTTACCTTCCCTTATTCTTTGAAAGTAGCCTGAAATCTACCTTTTAACTTTGTCCTAACACTTTTGCACAGTACTGTATGTTACTTGCAAAACTCTTATAATTTATACAACTGAAGATAGACATAAAAGTGAAACATAAAGAAAACTTATCAAAAGATAAAGTTCAAAGAAGCTGTTGAATTTTACAGTACCTGGCTCCTGGTTTCTGACTGTATTAATATTATGCTGAAACAGCTGTTCCAAAACACTTTGGTTACTGTTTAAGCTTGTTTGAAGATTAACTGTGGAAGATAACGTGGATGCAGAATAAGATCCACTACTAGGTCTAAATAAACTATGCTGATTTTCAACTTTGTTAGAGTCAATAGAGCCTGAATACTGAGCAGCTGCACTAATGCCTGGCATATTTTTTGATTGAGTTTCAAAAAAATTACGTCTCAACTCTGCTGTGGAAGGTCGACTTGCAACATTGGAATTGTTTGCTTTCTGGTCAACTAATGGTATAAAAGAAGTTGATGTAGAAGGCAAGGTAGCAGTTTGACTAGCTATATTTACTACTGATGTGTCAGAGAAAGAGGAAAATTCCATATTTTTTCTGCTCTCCTTTTCATATTCCTGTTCACTAGCAGTGTCATTAACTGAGATATCTTTACAAGGTGGAGGGACAACCTTAGTCTGGGTAGCACTTGCTTGTGACTGAACTTGTATTTTCCTAGTTGATGGTAAACTTTCTGGGTGTCGTTTTAATCCCATGGCAGATGAAGTAATCATAGCTGGCAAAAGTGGAGATTTTTTACTATGGGATTCATCACACAGTGACAGCTCTAATATCTCATCATCCAAGTACCTCCCAGAGCCAAGACAATCATCTGTTGAATAACATTAGCTTTTAAAAACATGTTTCTCTTTGTTTCAGCTATAAAGATTATGTATCCTACTCAAATATTAGTACAGCTGTTTAATTCAAGCTATGTAACTATAATTATTTTGTATTCAGATTTAATTCAAACTGTCTCATTTAACTATTCTGCTTTAATTGAATGTATTCATCAATTAGCTTTAGCTATATATTATGATTGATTTGTTTACCATAGACAAATATTAAATGAGTCAAACTTTCATTTACCACAGACTTTTAAGTTATATTGAATTAATGTACAATGTTTTCGGAAATGTAACTACTAAAGCACTTGGCTGATTTAAAACCTTTAAACAACTGCAGGAATTCTATACAAAAAATTTGGCAACTACAGGAAAAAATGCACAAAGAATATGGATAAGTGTTGGATATACAAGACTGAACAGTTTAAGAGTTATTATGTAGTTTATTAATGATTAAATATTTAAAGATTATTTAGTTTTCATACCTTAACTAGAGTGTTAAAAGTTAATTATTTTAAACAGTTATGACAAGTTTTGTTATGTAACTCTGAACGAGTCATGCATTTTGTATGTAGTTTAATTGTTGTACTAGGCTTTTGTAATATTGTTGACATCATCTTACTCAAAGCTATGCTTTTCTCATTATGTGTAATATTGTTATTACTAGAGGGCTAGATATTTCTAGATTTTTCTGTCGCATGTTATAAATCCGTGCAGATACAGAAGCAAGTTAAGAAGTTAGTGAAAGTGAAGTTAAACTGTGTGTCACTTTAGCCATAACGGGCGATTTCTAAAGTGAGTTTCACTAGTTTGTATTGTAATAATAGAGATGGAGAATAATAATTTATTTTGTGAAAGAGTGTTCTAAAGTAACTGAACATGCCTGTGTGGACTTTGACGAAAAGGAGACAATTATTTAAAGCTCTGGACACAACCATGGTAATCAACAGTTATGCTGGTGATTTTAAAGTGAGTGTCACTGCCTTGTATTGTAGCAATAGAGAAAAGGAGAATAACTTGTCTAGTCAAAGGGTGTTTTAAAGTAATTAAACCTGCCTGTGTGGACTTTGACAAAAAAGGAGAAAATTATTTAAAACTCTGATAATCGATAATGTAACAAGTTTTTGTACATCTGTTTGACTTGTTTTCAATATATTATTTTGATTTATATTGATCTGACCTCCCACAAATGACTTCCTGACAGATGCAACATATGACAATGATTTTTGGGCAGAAGGTCAAATAACGACCTCTCTATAAGGACTTTTCTTCATATCAATAATGTAATTTACAGAGACACATGAAAACAGTGTATACAGTATGGAACAAACAGTTTGTTTATTTGTTTGTAATTATGCACAAAGCTACACAAAGGGCTATCTGGGCTCTGCCCACCACGGATATCGAAACCCGGTTTCTAGCATTGTAAATCCGCAGACATACTGCTGTGCCACTGGGGGGCAGAACAAAGAGATCACATGACCAGAGATTGCTTCAAAGCGTAGTATATGTATCATCGTACCCCAGGGCATTCAAGTCAAACTCCTTTATACATACATGTAGGTATTTTCGTTTAAAAGCTTTCAGGTCCTGAAAGGTAACCATGGGTGGTAAGAAACTGTTGTTTGTCTTCACCCCACTCCCGGAATTAAGGTTTATCCTTTTAGTGAATGTAGTAGATTTTGAGCTAGTGATCTAGACATTAAGTAACTTGATTAAGATTTATTCGATTAATCTGTGCAGTAAACATGGCTAATAAATTGTCTCAAAGCATCTGGGAGAGCTGTGAATGTCTCAAGCTAAGAACAGGAAGTAGCTATGAAGAAGAAGGCTTGAAGTGTTAATATAGAAATGTGACGTGGACGTTGATATAGATACATGACGTGGACATTGATATAGACCAAAGTTGTATTGAAAGCAACAAAATAAGCGAAACATTGGAATTAGAGAATATTTTGTGAACTTGAAATTGTCTTAATGCAACGTATTACATTTTATGTAGTATTGGAATTGAGTTAGGATTACCTTATTAGGTATAGGCTAGAGTCTAGCAATAATTTAGTTCGGATATTTATTCTTATTTCTTTACTGGTTCTTTTAAGTTCACAGAATGGTCCCTTTTCAGAGCTGGAATCAAAGGATCCAAGTTTCAAGGTGACATTTGGGTTTAGGGTGGGGCTGTTTAGGTCCATTAAGATGCAGAATTTCCGATGTCTGTTTAAAATTACAGCATTTTGTATAGATATACTGTGGATTTTTTGAGTTGAAATGGTGGTAAATACAAGTATGGAATGTTTTTTATTATGTTTGTTGAATCTAATTTCCAATTTTCTTCTGGTTTCTCTGATGTAGAACTCTGGACATTTATTGCACATTATTTTATATATTGATACTAAAATCGTTTGCTGAAAATTAACAAAGAAAAGCTTCTTGATGTAATAACTGCCAGACTCGTGAATAGTCAAAGTGACTCAATTAAATGTGCAAAACAAACAAAGATGGACAATTTTTTAGGAAATAAATTTTGTTTCACTTAGTAATATTATATATATATATATATATGTAATAAAAATGTGATATGTGGATATTTATGAAATAAGTGTGATCGATGAATAAATTATCTTACACAAAACAATTTTAAGTTATCTTTACTGAACTGTTATCTATCATAACTGTTATTATACAGTGTACCAATTTGCTACATTATATGATTACCTATGCAGTATATAAACCATTATGCTCAACCCCTGGGAATAGCAACTGGCACAGTTTTAACATGGTTGTTCGTCATCTAGTTATTGCGACTTTTTTTTATCATGGCAGATACGTTAGTCTAGTCGTATCTAAGAGGGACTACTGTATTTTAAAACAAGTGGATTGTGTGCTGTCCATTTATTGTTGAAATTTATCATCAACACATCACAGACACTCACCGTAAAGAATCACAGCCCTATAAAAACTTGACAATAAAATGCAATTTTGTGTGGAAATATGAGATACTGTTCTGTAAAGGACAGTGAACAGATTCTTCTATGATTAAGTATTACAGATACATTCATTTGTTAGGATGCTACAGATTTCAAAATTAGAAGTCTAATAAGTTATTTAGTTTGCTTTTGAATTTCAAAATTTTACTCTAAATCAGATTTTTTAAATTTTCAAACATATTGCATTTCAGATTATTTTTGCCTACTATAAGTCCAACTAACTGATAACTTTTAGCAATGAATAAAAGTTCAGTACTCATTGTTGCTCAGAAATCTTGGACCTGAAATGTATAATGAAATGATTGTACATAAATTTTCTACATAAGTATTACAACTGAAATGACACATTTTAGTGAGAAGAGTTGCTGACCACGGAATCATAAAAATCATAAGCAGAAAAATATACCTGCAGAATGAGTTTTTGAAATTGAGAAGTTCTCTTTATCCCTACTATTGGCACTCAGGAAAGAGTATTCCTGTAAACTGGTGGTAGCAGGCGTATCATTTATCAGATTTTTAACAACTCCACTGACTGCTGACATAGTCTGATCCATATTATTGCCTGTTAAAACAAATTTTCTCATCAACTTTCAGACATCTACTTTCAACTTTAATTCTCTATGACTGAAAAAATATCTGTTTAAAACACGTCATTAAAAATACAAAAATGGAGATCAGTTTCAAACCTTAGCTTAAAGTGTACAAACAACTAAATTTTTCTGCTTATTTAAGTAATACTTCAGTAAGCCTTGTAAATTATTTGGGATCAGTTTTTTTGTTACCTAGAGCCAACCACTAGGTATCTAGCAATTATTATCAGACACATTAAAAACGAAAATACAATCATCACACATACATTCTGACACAAAGTTTATACCAGAAATTACTAGATGTGTACTAACTATGTATGTAGTTCAACATACATTATATACCAACATAAATTAACACATAATAAAATAACATGCAGTCCAGCATATGGTATATATACTAACATTTATTACACATAAACTAACACATCTAACAGAAATATGTGCAGTCCAACATACAGTATATACCAACATCTATTACACATATACGTTACCACTCAATTACCAGATAATATCAATAACTAACACATTTAAAACACATTTGATAATATTTATCAATTTATAAGCAAATAACAAATATATACAGTCAAGTAACCATAATTAACATGTTCAACAGATAGATCTAGTATTTACCAATCACATACTAAAAACTAGCAGGCATCACACAGAAACTTAGTATTTACTAGACACATACCAGCATTCAACCATCATATACAAACAATTACCAAACCTTTGACAAAATACATATTATATAATGTGCAAGTTATGCACCAACACTGACACATCATTTATTGTCAGACATAGTACAAATTTTGACATTTACCAATTACAGATCATTGTTTAATTATCAGACATAAGTACCTACAACATGCAGATAGATATTAATAAATACTAGACACATCATACATTCTCTGAAATTCACCATGTGTTGTCACATTTTAGTAGCTAAAATTCATCACAGCTTGCAACTTAATCAAAACTAACAACTATGTATTAATACTTTGTTTAAAAGTCAAAATCAATTTCTGTTGTAAAGTGAAAAATAAGAAATCTTATGTTTCTGTAGTATGCATTCCATATACAGTATCTTAAGGTTGTAGGTTGTATTTTACTTTCACAAATATTTCATAACCAATAGGAGAAATTATTCCCTTCCAACTAGCATTTAGAAAATTGTACACATCAAAAGATCATAATTGAACACTTAACTGAAGAGTGTGTTCTACATATTTTGGTGAACAAAAAGATCCATTATCTTTAGGAGGCAAAGGACAAATATTGTTAATTATATGAACTAGTGTAACATATGTGTACAATTACCATACTGTATAGTGGTGCAATTTACAGAATAGAATTTTCTAACCAAAATTGCCATTTTATTTTTAACAGTTTTTTAAATACACCCGCTTAAGTAATTTCACAATGTCCCAGTCAGTGGCATGTGAAGAGTTCACAACATGTTCAGCCAAGGCTGAATCACTCATTTATAGTTTATCAACTGAATTTTTATGTTCTCTTAATCTAAATTTCAAATTCTTACACATCTTCCCAATATCACTTAAAACACAACTTCATGAAATTTTATATATTTATCTTTTAGTTCAGTTTTATCTTTCAATCCATTTATAATATTAATTAGCTTTAATTGGGGTGTAAAGCTGAAACACAAGACAAACAATTTATAAATGTATTAATTCCTATAAAGGGTCACAGGTGTATATGATAGTAAATGGAAATGACAAAGATTTATTAACTCACATCTGCTTTCCTGAGAAAAGGCATAATGATTTGAACTTTCTTTCTTAACCTCAGAAGTGTCAATTAAAAGATCAGGATACACCACTTCAGGAAAACCAAAAATCTGGTCAGAATAGGAAATTAACAACTCAGTGACCCTCGCTTGATATATGGTGTCAACGAGAGAACTTAAAGATGCACTTCCTTCACTAGAAAAAGAATACTAATATTTGACCATATGATTTCAGGGAGAGCAAAAAACAAAATTCAAAGTCATCAATTATACAGACTTGAAACCAGAGTTTATAAACTAAAATACCATATTTCTGAACAAAATATCAAAAATGAGAGTGAATTTATTTTACCCCCATTGTTTAAACTAAATATTTCACTATGAAGATGAAATACTGTAAAAATAATTTTGTCTATTTGTTAATAACAATTTTTGTCACCAATGAACAGTATGTATATAAGAGTAATAGAAAATGTTTAGCTTCTCCTAATAAAAGCCTTTATCATATATTTTTGCATTATACTGTAAGTGTAGATGGAAAAATAACTCAAATTTCAAAAGCATATTACTTATGCAATATATCACTGCATAACTTAATTGAACAACATAGGCATCCAATTTTATCATATCTTAAACATTTAGTAATAAGTAAAAAATAAAAACATCACTCATCATTAAAGTCTGCAATTTTACATTTAAGGCCACAAGTAAGATCAATCAGTCAGTAAATGACAATATAAGCTTTGTATGGGGCAGTGAAGCTATCATCGTTTATATTTTCATAGAGTCAGTTTGAAAGACATAAATGCATCAAAGAGTAATATTAAAGAAAATGTACATTTGTAGCTGTCTAACTTCATTTAAATGAGAAATAGTTTTCTTTCCCTGATGTTTTATTTTAAGATTAAGTATTTTTATTTCAACAACTTTAAAAAATGTAGTTTTCCAGCAAACTGATTAAACTAACAGTTATTGTTATGATCACAGACCTTGGAGCTACAGGATATTTATTACTGTACATCCACGAATTGAGCATTGACAAGAATGATGCTCCCAGTAGCTCAGTTGTAAGTATGTAAGCTTACACTGCTGAAAACCAGGTTTCAATACATGTAGCTTCATGCTTAACAATAACCAAACAAGACTGATATTCACATTTATTCATTAGAGAATGTTGAAGATTACTGTCTTTTTAGCACTAACTACCAGAATTATCATTATCTTATGTAATAGAATTGAATACAAAACTTGATGTAAAGAATAAATCATCTAAAGCTTTGTGGTCAGCAGTAAGTCTGAGGGCTTTTCATATTAAACTTTGGGTTTTGATAGTTATGGCAGTGAGAGCACTGATAGCAATTGTGTAGCTTTGTACTTAATGATAAAACAAATAAAGTAAAGCTTTGTAGCACTCAACAAACTTAAAAATCTATCACACACAAGTTGATTATGTATGAGCAACCTGTAAATAATATAAAACATAATTTTTTAGTTACAAAAAAGGAACACATAAAGCTAAGTTCACAACTTTCTTCAAAAGAGATAGATACATCAAAAGCTTTATCAGAATCATATATCAGTTGAATCATGAAGATTGTACTGAAATGGTGAATGAAGCAAGTATGTATACCTTAATGACAAAAGCATTTATAGTACTACCTCGTTGGATAAATAAAAATTATAATATTGAGATTACTGAGTGTCAGTTTTTATAAGGCCGCGATTCTTTACATTAGGTGTCTGTGACTTGTTGGCAATAAATTTCAACAATAAATGGACAACATACAATCCATTGTTTTAAAATAATATATTCAAAACAAGTCAAATGTATGAACCAAAATTCGTTACACTATTGGTTATCACAGTTGTATCCAGAGCTTTCAATAATTCTCTCTTTTTCATCAAAATTCACACAGGCGGGTTCAATTACTTTATAACACCCTTTGACAAGACAAATTATTCTCTTCTATCTCTGTTATTACAATACAAGCTGTGATTCTTTCACTTTAGAAATTGCCACTATATGCTCTTTATGGATAAACTCACAATCATGCAGTCTAACTTGGTCACTTATATATATAAATATACTGCCCTACTGACTCCAAGAACTTTCTACAAGCTAACAAACTATGAGACATTATGATGTAACAATCTCATAAGCAACGAGAAAAATTCAGAAACTACACAACAAATGATTTGTAAACAGTTAAGTAAGCAAACTTACCATAACTATCGCTTCTAAAAATAATTTAATGCTAGCACAACGTAAACTAAATAATACCCCCATATTAAACTTAAAATAAACAGTCGTCTATATCTAACGGTGAGTGGGAAAAATTAATTTGTTCTTGGATCTACATGCACGGTTGGTATTTCAATGATAGAAAAACAAAAATTAAGAAAATTGTGATTTCATAAAAATATTGAATAAATCAGGATTTTTGTTGTATTACTTTGACAGAAGAGATGTCTCACATGAACATCAGAATATAAGGAATTAAGGTGGATCTACTTTGTGATTTGTATCACATTAACTAATCAGTGTTAGTGCTCCTCTAAACAAATAAAAACTGTAAAACAAAAAGGTCTTGGATAGCCTACCAAGAGGAAAGAAAGATGAAGACTTATAGTTCTTCAATGTAGTTTGCATTTGTGCAAAAGTGGGAGTGCTGAAATCCATTGCACAAAATGGAAACTGCTATATATATATATATATTGTTTAATTGCTTTGTTAAATTTCATAATCAAGAAGTATCTGCACTAATCGTTCCTAATTCATTTTGAAGTGATAGATTAGACAGAAGCCAGCTAGTCAACACCACCTACTCCCAAATCTTAGGTTATCTTTTACCAAGGAATAGTGTGATTGACCATCAGTTGATAATGCTCCAATGGCTGAAAAGATGAGCTTGTTCGATCCCGCAGATTGCAAGTCGAGCACCCTAACAACCAGTCCATGCTAGTCCTCTTCTGTATGTGATAGGAACCATATGCATTTAGAGATATGGGACAACTTTCTAAACATGGATTACTTCAGTCAGAAAACTGGCAGCTATCAGTTCTACTTACAAGGCTATTAATTTTTATGATTACTCTTTTTTTCAAACACCATCAGCAGGTATGCAACACTTTCATATGTAAAGAGAGGAGGAGCTTCCACACACTCAGCACTCTCGGTTCTTGTGCCTTTGCAAGACAGTATTTTTTAAACTTTTTTTGCATTTAGAAACAAGTCTATTTTCACGAAGTTTATTTAATATATACTTTTAAATATATAATACAGTTCCTAAAAAAATTAATATTCTCCTTTTGCTCCATTAATTACCACCACCATAAAATATTTATATACAAATTTTTGTTACAATATAATTAAACAGTGAAAATTCCACTGAGCAAATTAATGATAAGTATCAGCTTTCTGTAGTAAGAATATATTTAATATTTTGACCCATAACAGTACATCATCATTAGATGATGACATACTCTTACTGGTTTAGACATCATTAATTAAACATATTTCTACTGCAGAGCTGTTTATTACTCTTCATAAATTTTCTGTTTTGGTAAAATAAGCAGTTCAAATATTATTTTGGAAGTTTAGATTGTGTACAAGTAGATATCTTCTTACATACTGAGCATAAACCAAGCGTTAAGCCATTGCTAAGTACATCATGTATAGCTCATGAGTTCCTATAACCACTTTCTGGAAATATAAATACCTTGTTCGAATGAAAGTGGGCCCAAAAACAATGCCGAGGTTACTTGAAGGCATGTTGTTATGTTCGGCATGTTCTGTTATCCTAGAAAGATAGATGCTTGTTCAATATTGTGAACTGACCCTAAATTCAAATAAAAGTTCAAATTCAAAAGTATTCAATAAAAGAAAAAAACGAAATGTTTTGTTCATTTTTATAATTTTGATAATTTAATTAATAAAACTATATGACTACTGCAAGTTACATTTGGTAAGAATTCAAATCTTAATTTTGTGCTACTCAATATTATTTTTGAACAGTATATATTGCTACTTACAGTTCTGTAAAAATAATGAATAAATGACATTTGTGAGAAAAAAAATTAAAAATTGGTCAAACCAATGAATGAGATTTATTTTTGTTAATGCAAAGAACTTTACAAAAATATAAAAATAAAAGTTTTCTCAGATACTAAGGTTTAAATTATTCATAATTACTAAGTACTAGGAAATGATGGAACTCCTATTAACATAAATACTAATTTATTGATAGTAACACATCATGAAGTTCATAAAAATACTCTGCTAAAATTATTTATTGTTTATATATTTAGTCCAAATGTCTAGTTTATTAAATAAATAAACAATTGGGATTACTTTTAAACATTGATTAATCAAATAATAAACAGACCTTTTCAGGTGATGCATTATGTATGCCACAGTTGTAAAGTGCACATGAGGTAACTGTTGTACCAAATATCGAAGCTCTTTAACAGCTAACTGGTCTTTCTCTGAAGAATAATCCTTGGAGTACACAAAATGTACTAGAAATTACTGTGACCTTTAGTTCTTAGAAATTTTTAACATTGGATGAATTACAAAAAAATATTTCAACAGTATTTATGCTTATACAGAAGCACTGACCAAAGAAACTTGTAATTATTAACAAAATATAGATCAGTGTGAATAAGTCAACAATTTTGCATTATTTATTACGTTCTTTCTTCACATATTATACAAGTGAACTTACTTAAGTGAGTAAAAACAGACAACCTGCTGCTGTTACTAGTGATTTATCAGGCATCTAACAATATAGACTGTAACGTAGTTATGATTTACACTTTTACTTTAAAAAATTGACAAAATGCTTTGTAATTTGCAATTTAAAATGTTGAAAATATGAAAACATTTTTTACATAGTTCAGTATTCAAGTTCATGAAATAAGTATATACATTTAAAGTTATGCTTAAAGAGTTAAAAGGTTTGTTTTGAGTTTACTTACTGATTAAGTAAATCTTATTACAAGTTACAGCTTTTACAGTAAGTAAGATTTGTATTTAGAACAGGTACGACGTTTTGATCACTGGTGTGATCATTCTCAAGTTAAAATTTATAAAAATTGAAAAACTATTATACAGTGGAGAATTAGATAAAAAACTAAAACTGAATACTCACTTTGGCTATTCTAATGAAATCAGGATAAAGCCTGAAGGTCAGTAAAGGCTCAGGAAGCTAAAATTATAAAGACAGTTAAACTTTTATTAGTCAAGAATAAATGCAAAAATGTTGGAAAGTATGTCTTTTTATAGATTTTATTTTATTTTATTAAAAAAAAATCATGAGAATGGAGAAGCCAAATTTAAGTAACAAAATGTATCAAATTAAAAAAAATACTCACTTGTCTCAAGTACAATTTCATTACATTAGCTACGATATTAGGATGCACTTCAGTAAGATCAACTAATTCTGCTCCATTTTCAAAGCATTGGCACAGACTCTCCACCTTTGACTTTACACCAGACACTCGATAGATGCCCTGTTGAAAAGCAGTATAAACAAATACAGTGTTATTTTTCTAAAGAAGTTTACTAAATAAAAATGTATTTATAATTTAAAAACAGTATATTGATAACTGCACATATGATATGTGAATGTGATGTGCTGGCATCATAAAATATACCTTCCTGTTGTTTACATTAGACTTGTTCTAAAACATTCAGCAGCTTTCGTACAGCCCTTTTTTTTATGGTTCCAGAGTGACTCAGTATTTAATAATCTTTGTCTTCACATTTGTTCTGGTGACCACTTAAGCTAGCCTTGTTGAGTTAATGATTCAATAGTCATGTAGAATAATAGCATTGCCACCAAATATGTTCCTTTGCTTGTTGTTAGTCAACTACTGAATGTTGTGCCACTCTCAATGTTATATGAAACTTTTAAATCATTCTTGGATGAGAGGTCAAGGGTAGCTTACAGCTGTTAATATTTTAACATTTCTTTAAATCCTCAAATTATCAACACTTTTTTTTTCCCCTTGGTTACTAACTGAACCAGCATTGGCAATGAGACAATATTGTCGGTTTCTTTTATGATAGCCCTGTCAAATTGTTACTTAGCTACTTGAGATCCAGTCTGATAATATGGGCTTATGGACAAGGCAGCACTCTCTCATTATCTGTTGATCACAGTTGATAGGGATTGAGTCTCTCTTTTTTTCATATATTATACATCTTTCACATTTAATCTCTTAGAAGGCAATCAGTATATTTGCAAATAATTTTACCATATGATGAAATTGGACTTCTGACCATTTGCAGGTCACTGTCAGAGATAATCCTTTTTGCTTTGCTGATAACTTGTCCATCTATTTTATTATCATGATCATAAGCCATTCTGAATAACAGTGCTGAAGCCCAAATGGCATGGAAGGCTTAATTGAGCTAATACCAGGGATAGTGGTAGAAGATATAAACTGCCTTCCAACTGGTGTTAGAACCTTCAACTTCAGTAATAATGGAGAAAGAGGTAAACAAGCTAAAAACTCCAACAACATTAACTCTGACATGTCAAAAACCTAAGTGAAAATGAAAGCATCTGCCTTGACTGTAAGTTCTCAACTTTAAGGACCATTTGAGGTTGTAGAGTTGATCATGAAGATCAGCAAAGTATATGCATGCAATAGAGAAGACCAGAAATAAGCTGCAGATTAGGGCCCAGCTTGATATATAGAAAGAAAAAAAAGCAATTAAAATGATACTGAATAAGGATTGTTGGTAAATTGTTGAAGTAAGGTCTTACATACATCTAGCTGTTGTTGTAAATATAAACAATGTGAATAGTATTTCTGTAGGTGCTCGTCCATGAAGTGTTGTAATTATAAATATAATTTCTTTGAATATTGTCCATGTAAAGTAATGCAGATTATTATCATCATAATATGCAAACACAATATGTTTAAAAAATAGTCAAAATTAAGTTCAAATTGCTATTAATTTAATAGTTAGATTGAACAAATCAAACTTGAAAGAAGAAAACTTCTAAAATAAAAATATACAAAAATGACAAACTAAAAGACTAAGAATTTTATCTGTCTCATGTAATTTATTTTATAGAATTCGTAGATAGCTCAAAACAAATGTAGTATTAAAAATGTAAAAATCAGAATTTTTTAAGTAGTTAAAGCTAGAAATGACTTTAAGTCCATTGTACATGAGAAAATACCATGCTTCTTTAGGTATTTATGAATGCAATCCTCTTAGTTGGCCTATTATATGGAATTCAAACATTTATATACAAATACTATCTTAAATCTAATTTTTTGAGATACATGTCACTGATTAGGAAGTCCTTTTTTTGTTCAGTACTAATTCTCATCAATAAAGAATGATGTAAATCAAAAATACTTTCTATAAATAAAGAGTAACAAAGTTAAGGTCCTGTGGTGTCTATGGAACTACTTTCTTCATCATCAGTAATATGCAATCTGATAAACATGATTAAACACTACTGCATAACACCACAATTTCCATTGTTAAAAATTTCCACAAAAGATGGTAAGGTAAGTCTTAAACCACATATCTTGACAAAAATCACACAGACCTAACAATATACTTAGACATCAATTTCCTAGACCACACTCACACAGAGACTTGAAATGGAATTTTCAAACCAAATAGCATTTTATGAACACATGGGCTAAACAACCATGACAGAGACCTTTAGGAGTTTTTTATATATATTTTTAATTTTGAACTATTGAACAGAAGGAAAGCAGTCAGTAAATAGCAGCTACCACCACTTTGATCTACTGTTAATTTTATAATACATAACTGAAAGTACAGAACATGATCTGTGGTATCATTGAACCCTTTGATCTACTGTCAGACCTACATTTAAGTTATAGACTTAAAATATGATCAAATTATATCATTGTGATTCCAGTTTCTTTGGCCATTTTTGTTACGAATGCACCTGTGTACATAGCTCAAACTTTTAAACTTCTGACTTGTGAGTCTTTGTCAACTTCAAATCCTTACTTATTATCTCATTAATGGCATCAGGAGATATATCCGGTTTCATTATAATGGCTTTTGGGTTGAAAGATTCTCTCTCTTGTAATCTCACTTCACAGACGAAGGCACTGTTTTGAATTGAGTTTCAGAGCTTGTTATTCTATGCTTCTACACAGTATAACAATGAACATTTTTATTTAGTAAGGCTTTAAATACATGAGCAATAAGTCTACCTATGAAGGCATTGCACTGTTGAATGGTCAGATATTTGCCATAAAGCAAATTAATGGATGTTATACATGCCACTCATGGTATATATACCATAAGTCATTCAAAGTATAATTAAACTCCTGATTTATAGCAACATAATATAATGCACCAAGAGCTTCTGATATTTTTTTTAAATATCAAAACAAAGAAAGTTTGCAAAAGAAATGTGACTGCTATAAAATTACAAACTATGATTTTCAGTAATGTACCAAGTTTTCTCTACTTAAAAGTGTTAGATATTATGTTTATATACAGTTTGTAGTTATAATTATCACAAATTCTAATCATACAATGAGATTTTAAACTTTTTCATCTTGAAACTTTCATTATAAAGTTTAGAACTTAAACATGCAATGATACATTTTGAATTTAGTTTCAGAGAAATATAAAAATTTTTTCAAATACTGGAAACTGAAAGATTTCTCAAGGAAATTAATCCTAACTTGTTCCTAATGTGAACTTAGGAATTTACTAAATACATTAAGAGTACATTTATATAATCCTCTGTTAATTTTTTTAAAATCTATTTTGTCTATTTTATAGTAAATAAGACCAATGACAAACTCAAACCTTTATCAAGTATCCTCTTCTATCAATTTCTTCTACACATTTGGTGATGATGTGTGGAATTTCTTCTCCGTATTCTCTCGCATATGCTATCAGTTCTATACCAAATGTAGTCATCTTTCGTGGAAGTTGTTTGTGACCACACTGAATTGCCAGCAGCTCTAAACATTTTTTGTGACTTGCAAGGCCACACTATAATCAGATGTAAAACTATTTATATTAATGAAACAAAAAATTTCAAAATTACTATATCCTTCATGCGAAATTATTGATACTGTTATCTAAACCTGAGACAAAGTATGTAATAAGGTCTTTAACTATTTTCTATGAATGAATATGGAGCTTAAATTAACATTTGTTTCGTATGAGGAATATCATAGACTTAAATCAAACAATCTAATAACACCATAATCATTATGGTATTCTTTATCCAAAATATTTCATTATAACTTCATTTTTGAATCAATTAAGATGACTTTTTTTGTTTATCCATATTCAAAAATCTTTTGAAAGGCATGAAAAATAGTAAAATCTTCAAGAATACAGAAGTGAGTTACTCATTTGTAAAGCAGTTTTTGAAAATACATTATGTTTCAACAACATGAAAATAATTAAAGAATAAGGAATAACACACTGAAGACATTAATTTATCTTTTCTTTTTAAATTTTAATATGTGGAGTATATCACCAATAGTAAACAAAAGCATTTATCTTTACATTTCTATAACCAGAACAATAAAGCTCAAACATTTTAAATTACAGGTCATTTTTATTAGTGATTTGGATTCTTAATTAGCGGGTAATATTAGAATCTAGCTGAATGAACCAATGACTTACCTTAGAACACTCAACACCTTGAAAGTAAACATATGAATCACACTTTCGACATTTTGCTGGAGTTTTTAACTTTTTGAAATTATGGGTTTCAGCAGCTTTAGTACACTTTTCTATACTTTCTATAACAACACCAGTGTCAGGTTGTTTACAGAACAGATCTGGTATAAAGAAGATAGAAATAAAAGAAGTGAAACATTAAGTTTTCTGGGAAGTGCAAATTTATACAGTCCATATGAAAGAGCATATTATTTTTTGTGAAATACTTATAGTAATTTCTGTACCATATGTGATTTCTTTCCAATGCTGTAACAAATCCAAAGTTCATAATCAAGAAATATCTCAAACATAAAATCACTCTCAAAAATATTATATGCTTATTTCAGTAGATGATAGTGTAGATTAAAATATGATTCTAGCTTAGAATGAAGTTTGAGATATTACTTTTAGGTCCATGATGACTTTTATGGAATAAAAATAGCAGCCTTAACCTTATGTAAAAGTTCTACTTAATATCACATAGGTTAAATGTTCTCTTTGAATAGATCATATTAATATTTCTGTGACACACGTAGTGGTTAGATTATAACAATTTTTCTATGGTACATACAATGATAGTTTTTTACCCACCCCTCTATGCTTCGAAGGTTTTTGTGAAATGTCATCGGTAGAAATAATAGTGTTACCAACTTTTTCTGTTCTCCCTCATTAAGTCATCTTAAGATTTATAGGTAGTATTAATAAAAATGCAGTCAATTTAAAGATGCATACTCACAGTAATATCAAATATAAGTACTAGATAATAGGAAAACACTTGAAACTGGAAACTTTACAGTTCTTATGAAAGAGCATATTATTTTTGTGAAATACTTCTATTCTGTGCTAAAATTGGTCAGATTATTATTGAGTCCAAATATCCTAAAATAGAATAAAGAAATTACTTTTTGAGAAAAAGTTTCATAATTCAGGTTTTATGTATGGTCAAATTCCTTACAGTAGGAGTCTGTGACTTGTTGGCAATAAATTTCAACAATAAACAAACAGCAACACAGTCCACTTGTTTTAAAATATCATATTAAAACAAGTCAAATGTACACACGAATTTTCATTACACTGTTGGTCATCACAGCTGTATCCAGAGCTTTCAATAATTGTATCTTTTTCGTCAAAGTCCACACAAGCTGGTTCCATTACTTTAGAACACAATTTGACAAGGCGACTTATTCTTCTCTACTCTGTTATTACAGAACAATCTGTAGTAATTTCACTTGAAAAATTGCCACAATTATGCAATCTAGATCTAGATTTTTAACTAAACTTTCAATGCATATTTATACCTAGAACATTCCACACACTACTAGATATTATTGTGCAATAATAATCAATTAAAACAGTGAGAAAATTTTGGAAAATTCTACTAACATGATGCAATAATATAACAATTGCCAATTCATAACATATGATTCGTAAACAGTTACATAAAGAAAATATGCCATAACTATTGCTTCTAGAAATAACTAAATTTAACACTTGTGCTATCTAAACTATCTAAAATATAATTCTCACATTAAATTCAAACAGTCATGTATATCTAAGAATAAGATCCTCTTAAGAAAAAGATTTACAATATTTTTCATACTGTATACAAAGACTTTTCATTTCATTCACAATGTCTACTCATACAGTCTGCAACAACATTTGCAGTACCCTTGATGGTCTCAATCCAGAATCAGTAGTTCTGGGGGTACATCACAAACTAGTTCTTCTTACTACTCAACAGCTTTTTACTGACATACATTATGTGTGATGCACTGGCCTGAATATTGAATGGTTTATTGAAGTCTGACATTCCTAACATATTCTTCAACTTCTGAAATGCCATCTGCTGTAGTTGTTCCCATTTCACCTTGTTGGGTTGACCTATCTTGGTCAGATCCATCATGGTGCAGTGACTTCAGCATAGTTTAGACTGAACTTCCCATAGTAGTGAGCTACCCCAAGAAGGATCTGACTTGCTGCTTGATTGTCAGAGCTGGTGCATCTTGTATGTGGGTTAGCTTCTCCTCTTTTATGGCTATCTGTTGGTCACCCACCTCGTGCCTAACAAAGTCCAAAATAACTGATGTAATACTTAGATGGTCAGACCTGCTGCCCTCACTCACCCAAACAACTCTCTCCGTTTCTTCAGGTGGTCTTCCCATCTGTCGGTGTGGGTTAGAATGTCATCCACATAGTGCTCAATGTTCGTGGTTTTGAGCAACATTTTCCTCAACATGCAGTTGAATGTTACTGCTGAGTTGACTAAACCGAATGGCATCTTCTTGAACTAGTAACATCTGTCTCATGATACAAAGGCTCTCTTCTCTTTACATTCTGTCTCCATTGGGATCTGCCAAAAACCTTAAATGAGGTCAATCTTTGTAAGGAAATTGGCCCCATCTATTAGGTCATCAAGAAATTATTGTTGCGTTTTGGAACACTTTCATTAACCACCCCCAAAAAACGTACATCATGTATAATAGTTAAATGAACCACCTAAACGTAATGTTAGTGTTGCCTGTCCACTGTGTAAAGTTAGTATGATCTAATCCTTTACAGTGATGGCACACGATGAGACACACATTCGGCATGTAATGCTGTTTGAATACAAGAAGGGAAACAATGCCTCTGTAGCCATAAAGAACATCAAAGAAGTTTATGGAAATGTTTAGAATGTTCATAAGTGTCAAATATGGTTCAGCAAATTTCGTCCAGGTGACTTTAGCCTTAAAAACTGTGATGGCAGGGACCGACGTGTTGGAATTGATATTGATGCTCTGAAGACACTTGTCGAGTCTAACCTAAGGCAAAACACTCATGAAATGGCCCTGAAATTGCATGTCTCTCATGAAACAATACGAAAACATCTAATGAATATGGGAAAACTCCATAAAGAAGGTGTATGAGTGCCTCACAAACTCTCTGATGATCATCATTTCCAATGTGTGAATATTACTTCATCTCTTTTGGTGTGTAATATGCGTGAACCATTTTTGGACAGAATTGTCACCGGTGATGAAAAATGGATTGTCTATGTGAATAGTAAACATCAAAACAATGGCTCAGTCCTAGATAAAAACTACTTCCGACCCCAAAACCTTTGCATTTGGTGGGACATCAAAGGAGTAATTCATTTTGAACTTTTCAATCCACAGCAAACTGTCAAGATAGAAATCTATAATCACCAACTGGAATGTTTAAATTAAGTCCTTTATCAGAAACGCCTTTCACTCGTCAATTGGAAATGTATTCTTCTTCTCCATGACAGTGCACATGGCACGTGTGATGCAACACAAGATTATGGAGTTGGGTTGGGAAGTTCTCCCTCACTCACCATATTCTCCAGACATGGCACCATCAGATTACCATCTTTTGCGTTTGCTGCAACACCATCTTTAATGGGAAAACGTATCCAACTGTGGAAGGTGTTAAAGAGGACATCGACATGTTTTTTTGCTTCAAAGCCATGTGATTTCTTTAATCAGGGCATTAACAACCTGATTATAAGATGGAAAAGCATCATTGATAAGAATGGAGACTATTTCATTTAATAAATCTTTCGTTTTGATATATAAGTTGTTCAGGTATTTTCATTTAAAATAAGTGACATTAATTTCTTGATGACCTTATAGGTTTGCCATGATGGCCTCTGGGTTTCCATAGGTTTGAAGTAAAACTTTGTCATGAGGTTCAGCTTCCAGAAATCTTTGCAGAAGCAGTTTCAGCCCTCTCTCTTTTATAGTATAACTACTGCTGAACAGTAGGTTGAATGTGAAGGCTCAATTATTCTGGCTTCTAACATTATCTTGGCTTCTTGCTTGACCAGGTCTCTTATCACATAGGGCATCTGGTATGGCTTGGCCTTGACTGGATTCCTGATCATGGTCTCGATCTTGTGTTGCACAAGTTCTGTCTTGTGTGGTCTATCTGTGAAGACATCTGCATACTAGCATACTAAATAATGTAGCTCTTTCCTCTGCTTGATAGTCAGTTCTTCACTAATGTTGACATCTTTGTACATATCATCTACAGCCAGCAGTCTTAGATCTAATAGGTCTTCATTTTCTATGGCAAAGTCACCATCTTCTGATTCAGTATCTATGATAGCCACAGCTTCAATGTCCATCCATGCCTCAATAGCTAAACCCACTAGGTCTTTGTCCCTCTCAAAGTACCTCTTCAACAGATTGGCATGGTAGATCTTGGTCTTCCCATCCACTTTCACATTATAGGTCATTTCTACTGACCACTGCCTGACTTCAAAAGGAATTTTCCACTGTGGGATGCATTTGTTGTTGTCTGTGGGTAGCAGAACCAAGACCTTCTGTCTGATCTTGAAGCATCAATCCTGTCATAAAAGTGTTTTTGACTGCCTTGAGCTGCATACAGACTCTCTCAAGCGAGTTGACAGCTCTCCTCCAGTCGGTTTCTGAGGTCTAAAACATACTGGTATGTGTTACTTAATTCTGATTCTTCTTCGTCTCCTGTCGACAGTTCTTTCTATATCTGCATCATACCTCATACTTTTCTTCCATACAGTAAACTGAAGGATGAAAATCCTATACTCGCTTGTAGGACTTCTTGGTAAGCAAATAATACTGCCTGCAGGTACCTGTCCCAGTGACGTGGTCTCTCCTGGCAAATCTTCTTCAGCATGCTCTTTAAGATTCTGTTGACTGTCTCACAAAGTCCATTACATCGGGGATTGTATATAGTGGTAAAGAGCTGCCTAGTGCTGATGAGTTTGCATCAGTTCTGAGGTAAACTGGGTCCCTCTGTCACTCAATCTTCTTTTGGAAAGTATACCCTGCAAAACAATTCCAGGAAGGCTTCTGGGTAATATGTTGCACAGTCAACTACTGTCAGCACATACCAGTTGCTCTTGTCAGATACAGGCACTATTGCTCTGACCCAGCCCACAGCAACTCTGTTGAATTGCTCTTCTATGAGAGACATCTTACCCAGTGGCACTTTGGCTACCTTCCCTCTAGTTACTGTCCTTTGGCAGATGTTACATGATCTGCAGAATGTAGTCACATCTCCAATGACTCCTGGCCATTATAAGTTGCTGGTGATTCTGTCTGCCATCTTCTTCACTCCTAGGTGTCCAATTCATGAGCCA